TTACGGCTAATTCGAAGACTTGATTGGGTAGCGGCTTCGGGAGCGCCAGCATGCTATCCAGTCTAAAACAGCCTACGGGCAGCTGCGAAACTTATGGTACACCGTACTTAAAGCTTAAGTCTCCGAGCTTGTGCTAGGTATGCTCGGAATTGCTCGGATTTTGGGATGCGTATAGTTGGGTCTACTGTTGCAATTCACAAGACCGATTGAAATCGATTCTGTCGACTTGTGAGTGTAAACCTCCAAAGTCTCAATAGCGCTAAGCCTGCAGTAGAGGTCTAGCGAAACGAGGTGATCTATGCCACGGCTGTTCGGCACACTCGGATGCACTCTAGGAGGTGCGCGACACCTACAGATACAGCCCATGACCCGCGTGGCCAGGGATCGACCTAAAGCGAAGGTTCATATGCTAGGAGCGTAGCAAAGGTTGAACGAAGACGAGAAGCAAGTAGCACAATACGTAAAATCGCAGCAGGGAAATCGTCAAAACGCTCCTGTTCCCCTTTTCGTGGTGCAATCCACGTTCACACCCTAGAGCGATCGGAAATCTCTCCGTAAATCTATCTATAGGTGGCATCTTTATCCATGTTAATGACGCATACAGCTGCTGACCTATCGCGTTAGAAAATGTATCATCTCATCACTTACTTTGCTTGGCACCATGATAGCGCCTTCTGGATGGACGAATCAGAAGCACGTAGCTCGTGAGCCGACTGCGCACAGTAATCTTCATTGAAGTTGCAGACCCCCCACCACACAAACACATGGCACCGTAGTTCGTACTTTGTAATGAGCTGTTCTCGCGTTCTGCCGACTTCGATAAGATGACAAAACTACCCGCACCCAGCACTCCTTGTCAATGGAGCCTGGTCGGCTTGCTAGACTGCACGAGCGGTCTTGCTGTGAAAGCGCAGGCTCGTTCGGTTGGCGCGCTGGTTGCGGTGTTGGCGGCCGCTACCTCGTCCTTCTTGGTGCAAGTGATCTTGTTCGCGCTGATGCGCTCCGGACTCCCACGCATATATGAGCCTCTAGCCTATCAGACCCCGACTACAGATGCATTCACAGTGCTTCGCGACGTCTTCGCCTTGACAGACCGCAACATCTGCACAAAACGCGGACGAGATGCGTATTTCTTTCTCCGTTACTTAGAACTTCTGTTGAAAATCTTCATCCCCGCCGCCGTTCTTGGCCTGGCCATCTTGCTTCCGGTCAATTTGTTAGGCGGTAACGGCGATACCGGTCTCGCCAGTCTCACTACGTCGAACGTTCATGTCAGACATAGCACGTGGCTGTGGACACATGTTGCCGTCGCCGCCGCCTTCACGTCATGGACCTGTTTCCTGGTCCACTACGAGATGCAACACTATATCCACGTACGACACACTTGGAACAAGACGGCGGGCGTAGCAAGCAGGACCGTCTTTGTGCAAGATATTCCGCCTGATTATCTTGACTCGGACAAACTTTGGAGACTCTTTGCGACATTGCCCGGAGGTGTCAAGAAAGTGTGGATCAATCGAGACTTTGCAACTCTGAGGAAGAAGGTAAAAAGCCGGGACTGCACCGTGGATGACTTGGAGGCGGCCGAGACACGACTAATACAAATGTGCAGTCGCCTAAACCACGAGCGTGATGCTTCTCTCACATTGAGCATAAAAGGCCTGTGGAGTTCCCTTGTGCAAAACCCGGCACTCAACCCTAACCGGCTCGAGAGCTTGGGGAGCCTAAGAGGTCGGCCGTCAAGTTCGGCTAAAGACAGGCATGCTTGCGACTCCAATTGTTCTATTGACGATGACGATCATCCTGCATGGAAAGCCTATATTTCGACTTCTCATCGTGAGACCACACGATTGCGGTCATTGAAGTCAGATTGGACATCTGGACTTTCCTTGTTTGGAGCGGCAGTCGACAAAATCTGTCAACTGCGCTGCAAGCTTGCGCGTCTTAACGAAAATATTGCGCTTGATCAAACACGCCCCGAAGCTTTCCCGCTAGCCAACTCAGCATTCGTCCAGTTCCATTCGGAGCTCGCCGCGTCTCTGTGTTGCCAAGCTATTGCACACGACAAGCCGCGCTGCATGATGCCACGAGGGGTGGGCATCGAACCAGATACTATCATCTGGGACCACCTGGGCCTGACGTGGTGGCAGCGAGCCGTACGAGTCATTTTTGTTTTCTGTCTGCTTTCCACGCTGATCGCATTATACTCGGTACCAATTGCGTTGACCTCCTTTCTAGCCAAAATTTCCCTCCTGGCAGAAGTGGCACCGTGGTTGAGCTGGGTACGCCGCACTCCGGCACCAGTGGTCTCCATAGTGCAGGGAATTCTCCCTCCCACGTTCCTAAACATCATGCTTGCGACTGTGCCGATGCTCATCAGGCGCCTTGTGCAGTCGGAGGGACCTCCTGACACCGCCGTCGCCGAGCGTCATGTGCAACATTGGTTCTTTTTGTTTCTTCTCGTGCAAGTGTTCTTCGTTGTCACTCTCTCCGGAAGTCTTGCGGAGACTGCGGTCGGACTCGCTGGTGACGCCGCTCAGACGCTGCAACATATTTTATCAAGCATCCCGAAAGCGTCCACCTTCTTCCTCTCGTACATGGCAGTTGAAGGGCTGTCCACGTCTGCTAGTACGCTCTTGCAAGTAGACAGCCTGGCTCGCTGGTTCATTTACGCTCCGTTGCTGGATCACACCGCGCGCCAGAAACGGTCGCGCCAGACGACTTTGAAGACGCTGGAGCTGGGGACAGTTCTTCCCCTTCTCAGCAACTTTGTCGTGATCGCTTCGGTCTATTCGATCCTCGCTCCGCTCATGCTAGCTTTCGCGGTAGTCGTGTTCATCACGTTCATGCTTGCATATCGATACAATATTCTCTACGTATACCGAGTGACCGATACAGGCGCTCACTTCCTTCCCACCGCGATACAGCACATCTTCCCAGGCTTATACATTATGCAGTTGTGCTTGACGGGACACTTTTTTGCTGTAAGTGATGGTGGCCGGCTTATATGCATCCCGCAAGCACTCGTAGTGCTGATCAGCTTCTTTGGAACAATCCTCTTTCACTGCACGCTCCGATGCGGGACGTGGCCGCTGTTGGAATTTAAAGCGATGACACTCCGACAAGCAAGCATCGACAGTGTCCAAGCCGATCAGAGCGGAACGCTGAATTCCACAATGCCGAATGCACTCGACAACGATTTTGAAGACTGGGTTCTCCGTGTCCCAACACCTACCATCTGGTTGCCGCGCGATGCACTCGGAGTAAGCGACAACGAGGTACAGCGTACGAAACAACTTTTCAACATCGACGTCGATAATCAACATGCAGCTTTGGACGAGACGGGCCGCGTAATAATTTGGTCACATCCTTTTAATTATCCGTAATTGCAATATGATACATGTGTCGCCTACGCTAAAGATTTTAAGTGTGCAGTCGCTTCATTTGTTTCCCTTTTATGGCGGAAGTCATATTACTTCCCAAAATCTTCAAGTAGAAGGCTCGCTACGTCTCGGCACTATTTTCAGAGGCTACCTCCAGTTTGATACTTCATTATTAATCCACTGCTCTATGCTCAGCGAAACCCTTTCGTTCACCTTGTTTCCTGTACAGTTCTACATTGTAAATGTGCATACCTGCAGAAGCGACGGCCACTAATTCGTTGATGCGGATTGAGTTCTCCATTGATAAGCTTGAGATGGGTTCCTGCTTTTCACAGGCAGTCGTCGATAGCGAACCACGGCGCACACCAGTGAGAACTTTGCCGGAAATCAATGTTCCGAAAGAGCTGCACACGTACCTGAACGATCCTAGCCATGACCGGCGGATGGCAGGCAAACAAGCGGGCCACCGACCTCTCGCGCTTGGCAAGCCACATAGGAGGCCGTCTTGCCTTCTCCGAGATGAAAGCTACAGAAAAGTCAGAGGAGGTCTCAAACCCTCATGGACATCGTATCCACGAACCGCACGATCTAGGTCATGGATGGGGTAATTAGCTGGAGCAATACTGCGAGGTGTGTACTCACCGAAGGTAACAATGCTAAGCTCAACTAATCGACGCTCTAGAGATTGGCCTTCCGTTCAGCTCCGAGAATTGCAGCACAGCTTCTCTTGACCGGCCTTTGCGCATAGCGAAGGATATGCTACAAAACAAAGGAGTAGACTCATCGGCCTGCTACGTAAACCTTTCTATGCCGCACGATGTCTTCCGAATAAGTAACCGCTTTGAAGTCGATAATTTGTTAGGGTTATTAAACCCGAGATTTTCTCTTATACGAAAAGAGGGGTCATGTTGAGCCGACGTGTAGCGAGATAGTGGGCATATACGTGCATGAAGTTGTAACAGTACTAGAATCGTGACAGTCACTGGAAGACCATCGCTTTTATCACTTTATACAAATTTCGAGGGTTACCGTATCATACTGGCGCAAGCACGCAAGAGCTCACGCACCTTTTGTGTTGATCGGAGGTATCTCGCAGTCCCCACTAAACATCGTCACTCTTGCTATAAGCCGATGATATTTCCGGAAAAAGGACACCAAGCCTTGCACATTGCACTAGTCTCGCTTTGGTAAGCAGCTCCGAGCACGCTATCTGCTGCGCCGTCGGTTAATGCTTTGCCGCATCCAGCCTCGAACGATGGATCCATGCGGGCCGTTGCATGATTACGCCGTCATGTGTCGATGGAAAGTGCGCTCGGACCAAGAGCGGTTATTGCTTGGCGGGAATGGTCTCTTGGGATGCCCGCTGTTCCTGGACTCCAAGTTGCAAGAACACGACCATGGCGACTTCCTTCGAGACGACTTTCCAACAATGGGCCGACAAGCACAGAGACGAGGAGCCTAACGATGAGGAATGCAAGCGGCTTCAGGACGAGTTTGTGGCCTTTCAGGAAAAGAGCGATGGGCTCCTTGCCAGATTCGAATCGATCCTTGAAATATGGGAGAAAAAAGTGCCCCAGTCTGAGGCATACCAGACACTTAAGAGGTCGGCTGAGCAACGGACGCCTAGTGCACTGTCGATAGTGACCTCGTTGTCCTGGAAAGATCTTGAATTCGCCGCACACGTTGTGCGCCGGTACCTGCACAGCGCAGAAGGGCAAGGCAGAAACGTGAGCGCTAATGCGCGGTGGCTCAGATCCCTAGCACAGCTTTCAGTTAGGATTGATGAGGCCAACTTCGTCCATGAAGCTAACTATACAACGTTCCCGCGACACAAAGAAGCCTTCGAAAACAGAACGTTCACCAAGTCGTTACGCAATCAGTCCTCGAGCTTCCTGCTGGTCAAGGAAATAAGCGACATCGCCTCAAAAGCGAGAAAGGCGAAAAGGGCTCGATCAAAGAACATCTCGCCCGACTCGGTACAAATTTCGGATCAGATATCTGCGTGGGTTGAAAGGGGACTGATCTCGAGCCCGTCTGGAGGTACCCAGACCTTGAGAGAGTTGGAGCCCACTGCCTACGCCACCTGGATGCTGAGTTTTGATGAGTACGGCTTCCTTATAGCGGACACGCGCACCGATCGAGCTGATCTTCTTCCGATGATGCCTGCCAACGCCCTTCAGTCGCCGCCTCCGAGCAGTCCTCCACCAACGCTGCTTTCATCACCATCCGTCACCAGCCCTGAGCCTGTCGAAGTCCATCAATACTCGTCACATTCGTCGGCATCGTCGCTGACGGATGACTCGCTGGACGGGAGTACGATAGCAGCGTCCGAACCTCCAAAACAACCCTGGGTTCCAGCCGTATCGGATGGATTTGCGTTACCGGATCTTCCACATCTGCCAGAACCAAGCACGGTGGAGCTGACGGTGTTAGATTCGTTCCCAGATCAATCCGATCAGGAGGAGACGCCGGAAATCGTTCCTAGCTCTGAGCGCTTGTCCAGTGAGGTACATGTCGGTCACAGAAATGCCGCTGCGTGGACCACTGGTTCCATGTTCTGCGGCCGGCTGGCGCAAGAGACGATCAGCCAGATAGTCAGCGACATACTGACAAAGTGGAAAAAGGAGGCATCAGCACCTGGTGCGTCCCAAGTCTGCAGACAACGAAGTGAATGCGTCGACGGGAGCTGGGCCCGGCGAGTGACACCCAAATGGAGTGCACAGAATGCCTCAGCTGTCTCTCGCGTTGTACAGTGCACTCCAGGCCGAATGTTACATTTGGCTCGGACCACACAACCCATGTCTGACGTTTATTTAATAAGACCCGGTCAACGAACTGACCCCGTTGACTCTTCCATTATCTATGAGTTGGAGGCTCTCGGTGGTATCCCCGGCACGGGCGCTGCATCTGTGGCCTTGGACGTCGCAGACGCTCCGGAATGGCCGCTGGCAGCGAGCACCGAGTCGCGATTCACGGCGCTGCCCCACAATCCGAGTTCTTCGTACGTAGGCCACGGTCTGAGGGGAAGCTTCAGAGAGCCGATTGCGTACGACTTGTGCGGCGTCTGGATTCGGCTTGTACTTGGCAATGCGATTCTTTCCGTACGGTCACAGGCCGACCAGGAATGGGAGAAGATCTACCTGCGGTCCGGCGACACTGCATATCTTTCATCCAGGAAGATGCATGCGATCGCCTTCGTGACTAACTGCACAGTATGTGAGTACGTAACGTTGGATGCTGCCGGCCTTGTGCAAGAGCTCGAGGACATGCAAACAACCCCTCGGGCTCCAATCAACCTTCCAGGTCGAATACAGACTCGAAGTCCGTGGCTGGGCGATGTCCTTGCAGACCCGAGCGGGTTAAAGAGCTTCATCGACGAGGCTACAACTGGACTTCAGGTGGAGACCATTTTGGACCGGTTAAAGAGCGAGTTCTGCGATCAGAGGGTGTCTGCCGGTCTCTGACAAAGTACCGTAGCATAACAAAATTTCAGAAAACCATATGCACCTCATCTCCGAAAGCTCACACCTCACAAAGAATACCAAAGTCGCAAGAGTCAATGCCGGTCGGCACGCAAGGTTGCAAGACCGAGCACCTCTGTGCAGTCTCTTGCAGGTGACGAGGCGGTTGCAGTAGCGGCTCAGGGTTGTCTTGTTCCTCGTCCTTTGGAGGTAAGCATCCGACGACCACCTGCCAACAAGGCGCATTGCAAGCTTCCCCTTCCTGCTGTCGAAATTAGCGAGTACTGGACGTGGTAACTCTATGTGCTTCACTAACAGTTTCGCAATCACAGAAAAGACTATACAGCCTCTTGTTGCGTTGTACAACGACATTGATGCTTGCACCATACTTGTCTCGCATGCGAGTGGCTTTGTCCAAGAGAGCGCTTCGTTGCGAGCGGAAGCGTTCCTTGCGGGCTCTCGCCGTTGCTAGAGACGGCCGATATGGTTTGCGTCTTTCCTGGAACAGTGAGCAATTTTTCCGTTATCGTCAAGGCGTTGGAGTTATATACTTGGATGTCCATTCGTACGTATGGATAGAAATCATCCCCTCGGTATATTACGAGAAAAACGTCAGCGTGGCTTACCTTGCTCATGCGGTGCGCACGCTTTCTTAGGAAAGTAACATCTTTGCGGAACGATCGGTCGGCGTCGTCAAAACTTCTTGACATCATGTTTGCGTGACATTCGTTGGTAAGAACGGATCTTAAGTGAGCCTATGTACTTAGCGCGCAGAGCCTACAAGGCGTCTTAGCAGTGGCTCAAAGGGCACACCAAGGTCCGATCTTCACCCCCACCAGATTCTTCGCGGCGAGGATAAATGAGATGTGCCGACTCTGATACAGTACTGTACTTATCAGCGACTGACTTCTTGTTTGATACTAAGATACCTCACCATGGGTACAGTGCTTCTCCTATGTGCGTGTCTGGCAGTGACGGCCCCGTCACTCGTCACGTATACCCAAACGTGCTTCAATCGCCTCTTGCTTTGTAGCAACTCTTTTCAACAGTGGACACTCGCCTTCCAATACCAACTATATCGTCTTAAATGGTCAAACTTCAATTGGAGTAGCGGCGCCCGGCGTCGGCTTGGTCAAGAGGCGAGCCAGCCATACGGATGGATCAAGATGCCTAGTGCTGTCCTCGATATATTACAAGACCTCGTGCATGACCATCTTTGCGCTCGCCTAACACTGCAGGCCAGACGAGTGCGCATGCCGAGTTACTTGACTCTCATACGATACTACGGGACAGTACAACTAATGCTCAAAGTACGACGTTGGGGCATCCAAGTGTGGCAAGGCTTCTCGCTATTGGTCCGAGTGAGCTCGAGGCTGTGCAATACTGCAGCACAAGTGCTTACCCCTGGCTGGTGTTTTAGAAGCACTATCGTGGTCCTGACACTAATCGCCGCCTACCGCCTGGCAGTCAGATTGCTATGACGGCCGCCACAGGTGGAATCTGCGCAAGAACTGGGCGGCTAGAGGTGTCCCCCGTAGGATTTTGGATACAGTGTATCGAGTCGTATGCAGTTTGTTTACCTATTTGTTGCAAGGAGCGCAACTTTTTGCTAGCCGCTTGGGAGATCGAGCCCGCCGCACAAGGCGGGGCACGATGGTGACGGCACACGGTAATGATACGGTGAAGTGGGCCATGTCCTGTTGCGGCAGGATTGCGATATAGCAGACCAGTGGGCGACCGTCATTTTGTAGGGACGCTGCCCCTTTCGTCACTCAGCTTAGCAAGCATTCCCAGTATACTACAAAACATCCCTGCCCTCCGCCCAAGAGTCACTGAGGTAGGACTTGAGTCCACACAGTCTCATGAAGCGTCAGAGCAGATCTCCAGGGCGAAGGAGAGCTGCCAGCGTGTGCGCTGCCGAATGCGAAGACGATCGATGTCGCCTGTCTCCTAATGTCAAAGTCTGGTATTGCGTTGATTGCGATAGTACGTACTGCAGGTCGGTATGGTCATTGTCGCCGTCTCGTATATTATTGACAGAGCAGCAGTGACTGCTGGGACCTTCAAGGCCCACACAAGCCCTCGAAGAGGGGAAGAGACGGCGTCGCGCATCAGAAAAATAGCCGAATCCTTGTGCAGACTCTCTCACCCGTGTTCGAACCTCCACACGATGCGCGAGAGACGCAACGACTTCACGAGGATGACAAATTCAGTAAATGGCTGGCTCTTGTTCGGGACGACAGCCGCTTCTATCTCGAGGAGTACGATCGCATTTCGCAACTGCTCCCTTCGAAACATCAACTCGCAGTGCATAGCCGGCTGCGGCCCCAGATTATTTCCTTCGTTGGAGTCACGAATGCTGGTAAGTCTACGATCGTCAAATTGCTCATCCACAGCGGTGCTGGAGTTGGTGGTCCCTCCGCAGGGAGTTTCGCCTCCCCTGTAGCTGGTGGTCCCAGTCATGACACGCAGCCAACTACTGGAGACGTGCATCTCTATGCAGACCCTGCGACGAGTGAGACGACACTTCCGATGCTCTTCGCCGACTGTGAAGGATTTGAGGGTGGTGAGCGGCCGCCGCTGGGAGCACGAAGTCGTGCGTGCGAAGACACAGTCGCCAACGACAACCCGTGGGGCCCGCAGCGTGTGCACGATATCCGTTGGACAGACACAGGAAAATACCAAGGCCGCGAAGGTGTCGTGGCCTCCCTCTTCCCACGCATACTTTATACCTTCTCGAGCTGTGTGGTGTTTGTTCTTCGGAACCCAAAGACATTCCAGTCGGCTGTTCTGACGAAACTACTTGACTGGGGTGCCGCGGCGCTTGAGCGGTCCGTCAATCAACCGACGCTGCCTCACTGTGTTGTCATTTTGAACGCAGCGGACCCAGGCCTAGACGATGCCGAATGGGAGGTCAATGCAGCGACACAGACACTGTTGGACTCGCTTCATCACGCTGATCCTTCCTGTCGAAGAGTGAAAGACCACTGGTCGAGATTAGGATATGAGGTGAAGACCACCAAAGATCTCCTGCTGCGATACTATGCATCCTTTGCAGCCATCCGCATGCCGACTAAACCCAGCTATGAGCGTATGGATGGACAAATACACCGACTTCGTCGGCTCCTGCGTGCGGGCTGTCAGCAGGCCGCAATCGCACGCCACAACGCTGGCGTTACAATGTCAGCGGCCGAATTCAAGACCTACTTGTCCCACGGCCTTGATCACTTCACGAACCACCTCTTTAAGCCATTCGACTTTCTCCGGATCGATCTGATTCGCTCTGCTGCGCCCATCACATTCCAAGACCACGTTCTGCAGCTATGCATCGTCGTGAGCTCAGCCATGCGGGCGCAAGCACTGACCAGCGAGTCCAAGATCATTCGCACGTTGGAGAACCTCAGTCCTGTCTTGGCTTCTTGCATTCTTCTGGACCAGAAGCGGGCGCAAGAAACCGGGGCTCACAGGGAGGCCCGAGATTATTTGCCGCCACTAACGCGAGCAGTGGAGGTCTTCTTTCAGGAACATTACCCCTGCTGGTATCGATCGTCCGATAGGAGGCGCTCCTGCAAGTTGGTGCGCGCTCGTCATTCATCCAAAGGCCACCAAGACGATGCCGGCATCTTCGCCGCGGGTGAATTCGTGAGCGACATACTGATCTCCTGGCCAGCTCAGTGGGCGTCACACATTTTCAACACGTCTGCAGTACGCACAATACGACATGAACTCGACATTCGACGAGTGCGAGGATTGACGGAGCGGGATGCCATTGTCGATCTGCATCTCGACCGCCTCAATTCATTCCACGAGAATGTTTGTCCAGCATCAGATGTCACGAGTCACGCAATATGCTTATGCTGCAATCTGGGAGCCGCCGAGTATCCTCTTCCTTGCGGACACGTCCTGTGTGGTACCTGCATCCGTGAAGTCGGTGAAAGCAACGGCTCGGCGGTGTTGATGCGGTGCTGCCCCTTGCATCGAGAGTCTACTCGTTGGCGAGACGCGACAATCGTCCGGTTTCTGCCCGCGGGCGTGGCACCCCGCGTCCTACTCCTAGAAGCCTGCGGCGTACGAGCAATCGTGCAGCTTGTGATACTGTGTATGATCGAGGAAGAGCTCGAGCGGCTAGGGGGCCTCCTTAGCATTCGCACCTGCTTCGACCTGATCTTGGGCGCTGGCACGGGTGGCCTGGTTGCCGTCGTGATGTCACGGGCAAATCCATCGTTGCGCGAAAGCTGCGAGTTCTTCCAGATGCTCTGTGCAATCTTGCCGCGTCACCAACGCTCTTGGACCCGCCTCCTTCGGATGCAGAGAGCACGAGACGACCGCTGGATCGATGTGCTGAAGACTGCATTTCAAATCGACCAGACTTTCTTCCCGCCATCCCCGCGAACACCCGCCTTCCACGCGCGAACGGCGCTCGTGTGTCAAGATAGCGCGCAGAAGGAGAGCGTCTTACTCGCGAACTACAGACGGCAGGAGGATTCAAAGCCACTCTATCGCTTGGAGCGGCCCGCCAAACCCTGCGACGAGCTTAAGGTCTGGCAGGTTGCTGCAATCACATTGTCTAGCCAGGCACAGCGTTCTCTAGGATCCAGCTATGTGGGCGGACTATTGGATCAGGATCTGACTAAAGTCGCGGAGCGAGAGTGTGAGCTGCTCTTTCCTGGAGCTAGCGGCGCCAGCTTGTTGCTATCCATCGGCCCTGGTCTCGAAAACAGCAAAGCCGCTCAGGCCGACAGACATGAGTGGCACGAGCGGAGCACGGGTTCCGAGCGTTCGAATGCTGAACGACGCTTCCGTGTGAACCCGATCATAGGCTCTCGCCTGCCGCCGCATCGATATGACCAGTTCGACCAAATCTACCAGCAATTGCAGGATTGCATCGGCGAACGAGCCAACGCATCGCAGACTCTAGAGGGACGGAATCTGACAGTCCTCTTGCGGCATGTGGCATACAATTTGGTGGCATCAAGCTTTTATTTAGTTTTTCACAAGTGCCGGCGAGGACCCACAGGCGGAGCCATTTTGGAAGGTTGCATCGTATGCCGATACGAACATGGCAGCCACGAACAGCAGGCGCTGGGGCGCATCATCGCCGAGCGGCAAACGGAAGAATTCAGACCCCGCTTCACGGTTCAAAGTCGCCCAGATATACAGCAGGAATCGATCACGGAGGTGCAATTCCACGAAAGATTGGAAGAACTCGAGCCGCTTGCTTTCTCAGTCTGGCTTGAACGCCCGTCAGATGACGTGGAGTGTCGTCTTCTGCTCGAGCTTGACAACAAGATTGCCCCCATGGGCCATCTCGTCTCCTTAAGCGACTGGAAACAGCAGGTTGGCTGCGAGCAGCCGGACGGCACAGCCAGCGACCCTTATGGGTCCTCACAACAAGGCCAGGGCCATGACTCGGCAAGCACGGACGGTCTTGCAGAGCTGCCCGCCACAGAAGCTAGGACAAAAAGTGACACAGAAGAGGAGGAAGGACTGATTAGTTTCATCACGGATCTGTTGTTTCCCAATACAGCAGGGCGTGGGGACGATGAGCAGTGATGCTGGGCAGGAGGGCCCCGTCCATATTTCCCGTAGCCTGCGCTAGTCTAGAATGAGTATGTATAAACCAGGTTTCGGAGCCGCCCAGCACGTCCATGACCCACTAAGTTCGTTGACGAATGCGGCTTGCCGCGGCTTGCCGACAAATAGCCGCTGTCGCCTCTCGCGCGTGAGCTATCCGCGAACCGTGCGCGGCCCACTGCCCGCGGCGTCACCGAAAACCAATCACTCTGAAGCGAAGGTGAAAGTTTGCGTAGCGGAGCGCAACTTGAGCGCTCGGGTATGCATACGCATCGTCGTTTTCATGAGCCGTGCGGCCTCGGACCTGACTGCAAGAGCAATGCATCCAACGATCACTTTCAACACCAGGACATCTACACGACCCATGGCACTGGGACTCAATGTTGGAGATGTCGTGCCAGGTGCCCGCAGCCTGTGCCACATGGTCGCCCTCATAAGAGATCGTGGCCGGCACGAGGGTCATGGAACCAAATCGAAGTAGTCACGAAAGCGCAAAGACTGTCATGGACATGAATGTAGGTGGCCCGAACCTCTGTTGCCTGCTCTGGACTGATGTAATAGTACATAAACCCTCTTCTGTTGGACCGCCAGCAGTCGGACAACATGGAAGTTATGTGGCAGCATCCGGCACATTTGGAGTCCGTTTGGCAGGCCTCTTCCGGCTTCGAGCCCCCGGACGGTTACCATCATGCCGCCGATGATTCTATGCACCTCCGTCCCGAGCTCACAGATTCTTTGCACACTCTACAGGCTTTGCCGGATGGAGAGATGCCAAAGATGATTGAACTTGTAAGAAACGAGGTGCTTCCGAAGATGGACAATTTATTCAAGGCGATGGTGTATGCCGAAGTGAGTTGACGTAATCTTGACTACGCGACCCAAATGACTGATGCATCGAGTGTAGATTGAAAGGCACGGGTTAAAGGCGACTGCGGTGCAGGTAGTCAAAATCATGGAGAAGCTCAAACAAGACCGCTCGTAATTAATCCGGGAGGAGGTGGAGGGGAATGCGAGACCAACGAGTGCAGAGGTCCTGCCACCTGTGCTTCGCACGTGCATCATGGTAAATTGATTTACCGGGCAGCTCTGCTCAAATAAAGCAAAATGACCACACGGTACTGCACCATACCTTGCCACTTCACTCTGAAGCTATCTCGTTGCCACACAGTCACGATACAGGGGTCACCAAGCGTAAGGGAAGGAGGTGAAGTAGGGGTGAACTCCAACTGTAGACCCCTTGACCTATCTCATCCTGACAAGACACTGCTTTTCTCAACTCAGGCGACTCCGCAGCAGTCTACGTCTCACCGGTTCCATAAGTCTTCTCCGCCTTCCGAGGTTTCGTGTACGTGGTATGGCAGCCCATCGGAACGAAGAGTGGGTTCGAAGGAGCGACGATCCCCCTGCTCTTTTGGATCTCGGTCGCCTTGATGACATCGCTAAAGAGTTGAACGACCCGCGCTCGCAATATCCCCAAATCGTCGTATACTGCGGTGGTCGGTCGAAAAATCGAGCCCTACGTCGTTCTCACCCGACGGCGAGCCGCACATGTCGCTCGCAACGTCGCCCCACACTTGGACGGCTTTGCCTTGATCGATCGACACGTCGGACCGACACTCCCTTGCTAATATTGAATGCAGACTTCTCCGACATGGTTACAAATCAGCCGCTACACTGCTCTGACGGGTCTAATGATGCCGTGAAGGCGTACTATACGCTCGAGGCTTCGCCGACTCACGATTGGGCTGCCACCATCATGCATCGGCTCTTTTTTCCTTTTTGTGATGTCATTGTGCTCTTCGCCGAAGACATGGGTGGCTTGCACGAGGTCAGTGTCTGTTTACAGAAGTGGTGTTCGCTACCCGCCAATTCCACACTTCCTACAACTGTGAAGCTACAGGTCATTGTGGTTTTCTCACGGGTGGGCACCGCCGAGTCTCAGATCGAAGAAGAAACATTCACGGCGGCCTGCCGTCATCTCCAATATAGTAGTCATTTCGCCGGCATCACACTACGGTGCCCAGCCGAGCTGGTGGGTACGCTCCGATCGCATCTTCAAGTCGCCAAAGACCGACGCAGAAGAGAGCATCTAATGTTCACGACACACCACATGGCCTGGTTCTTCGGTAGGGCCGTGCAACACGTTGCGGCAAGCCTAGAGACGCCGTTTGACTTTCTCGCGACCTCACGTGCAATGCGTCCCCCAGCTGTGCACCTGCGAGAAGCACTCTCCACGCTCATGCAAATTACCTCTCTCCATCGTCTGTCCCATCGCTCGACCATGACTCTAGTCGCATCTCGTATTTTGTTGGATGCGTATCAACCATTTGAACACGGTACGGCCACATGCTCCCCAGCCTTACTGTCCCTGACATGTCTTAGAGTTTCCACCCAAGCAGCTGTTCGACCGGTTCTACTCCGCTCTCGTGCTACAAGCCCTGGAAGACACGTACCTACCGGCGATTCTGGCCAACACCACCCCGCGGGCTGAGGTTGCTTCGGCTCTTCTTCAGCAAGTTCTTGATATCGCAACCCAGCTCTTCGAGAGGCTCATTGACCAAGGGTCAAGCTCTACACGAATACAAACTCAGACCCTTCACGAACACGCCCCGACGGTTGGATGGCTGGCGCCTGACTTGCACAGGGCATGTTTCTTCTGTCTGTCACCTGCTCCCGAGCACATCTTTGCGTGTGGCCATCAAATCTGCGACTGTTGTGTCATTCGCCTCGGACAGCAGTTAAGTGATGCCGAGTATCAATATGATGTATCCTGTGTTCTCTGTCGTGACGATCGCACCTTGAAAGTGACTTTGAAGCCGCCGACAGCAGGCGTTCGAATTATTTGTCTTGATGGCGGTGGTATCAGAGGTCTGATCCAGCTCGATATCATGAAGAAGCTTGAGAATCGACTCGGTGGTGATTTGGACTGCAGAGACTGTTTCGATCTGGCTTTGGGAACCAGTGCCGGTAAGAGCAGCTTGCATTTCCACAGGACCATCCGCTAACGATAGTGACTCAATCCAAAGGGGGATTGACGGTGCTCGGACTGTTCGCCGAGGGCTGGTCCCTGACCAGATGTCGTCGGATATTCGAAGAGACTGCGAAAAGTGTGTTTGGAGCCCCTGCCATGTTTGGCATTGTCCCATACGTTCGTTACGCTTTGAAAGACGGCATGTATAGTTCACAGTTGAGGAGAGAAGTACTCCAGCGCAACTTTGGCCCGTCCCGGCACCTGTTCGGACCCGCGCAGACCGGTACGTCTGGAACCAAGGTAGGGGTTACACTTACCCTTGCCGATACGTCGACAGGGAACAACCATGGTCCGCCACTCTGCATTGCAACCAACTACAGTGGCGAGGGAAAGGCGTCGTCCGAACAGCCTGGTTATACACCGTCCGCTAAATATCAACAAATCCGGCCCAGACGCGTCGACCAGGAAATCTTCGCTTGGCAGGCGTACGTTGTATCGGACTTTCCGAGCTTTGACACTGACTATTTGACAGGGGACTCGTTACGTCGGCGGCACCGTTGTACGGATCTGCAATGTTCCAGCATGTAGAGGTACGCTAATGTCCTGCAGGTACTTCAAACCCGTCCATGTACCGCCCTTGAACACCTGCGTGGATGGAGGCCTCCACGGTATCAATCCAGCAGAAATAGCTGTCAGCGAGGCCTACCGCCTGTGGCCTAGTGCGAAAGTGGACGCTATCGTCTCGATAGGTACGGGTAGGAGTGATGCGCCTCACGCTAAACGCTCGTTGAAGTGGCTACCGCCTTCCCTTGCATGTCTGGCTGGATGGGCATCCACGGCCTTGGCGGATGTACTTGACCCCGAGAAGATCCACGGAAATCTTAGACGTCGATTTCAAGAAGGAATCACATATCACCGTCTGAATATTGACTTCCGGCGCCTTCCCCGCATGGATGATCTCAGTTGTATCCGACTCATACCCACAGCGGTCAGCCATGGATTGGACGCGCGACAGCTGGATGCTGTGGTGCTGTCCCTTCTGTCCAGCTCTTTCTTCTTCGAATTAGACAGCATGCCTTCTTGCGACTTGCTACGGAACAGGTATCGGTGCGCTGGATCGCTGCGCATTCGAGGCAAAGGACAAAAGGTCTTGCAGCATTTGGAGCGATTCTGGCCATCTGGCGCCGCATTTCGGCTGAGCGGCACGGCACAACGCTTTGAATACCCACTAACATTGGGCGAGATTTGTCCGCAGTGCACCCGCTTTAAGAAGAGCATCCACTTTCACGTGAGAGATCTAGACCAGCAGGTCCAACTGCATTTAGTTCCGCGAAATGTCGATGGCAGCAATGATTGTAACGGCCCGCGTTTAGTATCTGGCTTCCCAAATACTTTGAGGTGGTTTGTGGCGCGGCAGAGACTCGATCACCTGGTATCTGGCGATGATCTAATCACGAAGTGTATGTGCCGCGGGCATGCCGCACATGTCAAGTAGCAGATTTTAGTACAAAGTAGCTTCAGACCCAGATGATCCCGAGATGCTCATTCGCTTTTCGCATTCCATTACGACAGTTTCCATTTTCTTGCGCGCATCCTAACACAACCTGCGTCGCTTACTGACGAGGTGAAGAACCAAGACCTGCAATGAGTGTCACGGACCTCGCGAGTAGGCTTAGTGTGTCTTCACGGCGTGCTGGGATGAAACGTCTATGTAGAATGCGAAGGACACGGAGAAAACAGGATCGGCTGGGGGTAAAAATTCAATCAGGACTGTCTTTCTCGCCTCTGAGTCTGACGATACGCTATTTCGGGAGAAATGAAGGGAGAAAGAAGGTCTGTTTCAAAACACTTGAAACAGCGTTTCATCCAGAAGTGCACACCACTTTATATGAAGTTGCTTGCCGCTGACTGTCTCCAATTTCATTGTCCTGAGCAGGTCTCATTTCCGTCACGATGGACTCCCTCAACCTCCTAGAAGAATGGCTAAACAGCCAAGAGTCGTTCGAGCAACCGGGCATCGATCTTGACGCGGGGCGTCTCGATTACGATGCAGGGGCACTTGGCCAGGAATCTTGTCTTCCATTGGACCCTTACTTTGACTCAGCTCTGGACGCATGTCTTGATGACTACCTGCCGGCCGATAGTAACTTCAACAACGATTGGCTCTTAGGGGATTTGGACAACTTTCAAGCGGGAGGGATCGACCAGATCTTTGAAGGCCAATCTGCGCCAATGGGAGAAGATGCCGTGCCCATCCCACCGCCACCGATTATGCACTCGACTTTCCCAGCGAACGAATCAGTAGTGTGAGCGCGAATACCGACTATTGCGAGAGATTTGCTAATGCAAGTTCAGTCGAATGGACAAGCTAGAGGCGGAATTGCAGTCTATGCGCGATTCCATTTTTGCGTTGCGTCAAGAGCTAGACAACTACAACGACTGGTCGTACAAGTTGACATTCATCGTGAATGAAATCCAGATGAGGCAGCATGGATTGCCGCCAACCTTGCGACAACGAGGCAAGCTCCTGCCCATGCCAAACCGCCCAGGTGACCGAAGGTTGTCATAGTTAATGCCTGGACCGCGAGGAATGTACAATAGTAATTGTCAAGCTGCGGTGACGATGCATTCTGACGAGGCCTGGTTGAGTACGGTCGGATGATGTGGGGCCATGTAATATTTGTGGGAGAGCGCTAGCGCTCGATAGAGTCTGTCGGCGATCGCACTCCGCCAGCCAAATACGACAGGCATGTAGTCGTTTAGGAATTTCCACAACCACAGTTGCTGCTGAAGTACCGTGGCGCGAAATATAGTGTCTATTTTGGAACAAAAATAACTCCTGAATGTCCGTTGCCTGCCGCCGGCCTTCTCTACAAGGCTGCATTTCCCATGCTCTGTAATACCTAAGACGACTGCAAACACGGCACGAGAAGAAATGGTCTTCAAATTCTGAAAGGGCCGCCAATTCGAATTGCATTGGTGGTTCCGAGGTACTCGTCACCACGCGTGGATCGAAACGAACAACAGGCATGGCTTGAATTCAGGTCAGTAGGCCAGGTATTCTGAAGTTGTCCAGAAGGAATTACTGAACCAAGTATGACAACCCATTTGAGGAATCTATCTGATGGAATAGTTACAACGCTGGGTGAGAGCGCGTCTCGAAAGGGGTCAAACGCGTCAAGTTCACACGATTAGGGCCCGCACACGATATCCTGCTGTATCGATTCTGCGCACGATCAACATCAAGACCTGTCGCCTGGAGTCAAAATTGGCTCAAACGGTCGACTAAGACGACCTGCCAATGCCCGTGAGCTCGTGCCAGCTGAGGATGTCTGGCCTGCCAAGTGCTTGGACAAGTCCGAATGGTGAACATGCGTTGGAAGTTCAATATCGGTCGTGCCAGGCCATGCTGATTTCTCCACGTCCCAGCACGTACTGAGATTTAACGACACATGCGCATCGCAGGGTTGGCCGGAGCGGTGCACAGTCTGCGATGATAGTGGTGTCAAGCAAGAGAAATAGGAGGAGACTTGCTCCGTCCATCGAAAGAAGTCCAGCAGCATGGCACCATCGACACGGTTCTTGGACACCCAGTCATAAATGTGGCCGTCGTCCGTGTGTTGAGCTAAATGATCCAGCACGTCTTGGTACGTGAGACTATTCATCCGCGAGCAGGCATGGCAGAGACCTGAACCGCAGACCATGCTTGCAACCATACTACGTCGTCGACATTGATGCGTATCTGTGACCAGATCCAAGGTGGAGAGAGTTCTTCGAGGTCCGGGACACGTGCGTATGCTTTCCTGTGACTGAAAAAGGCTTGCGGAAGGGACCTGAGGCGGGCACAAGAGGACCTCACTTCGAGGGCAGGACATCTGTACGGTCTTAGCGAGATCAATCGTGAATCGTGGAAATGCACTAACCGGTGTCGCTTCTAATGACCTGGCATAATGCATTAGCTCCGGAGGGCTTCCGTAAAACGGCAAATCTCGCTTCTCAGGCCTCATTGATGCTGCACCGAGGCTAAAACCCGACTTTGAGCAGCGTCACTCGTGGGGGGTGTGCAGATGGCGAGATGAAGTACGCTTCAAGCTATAGATAGACTTCTCCTAGTGCTGTACAATACAGCTTCAAGCCTACTGAGTTGGCTTGTTTCAGTGATGAGATTAAGGATCGACGAATGCTGGCAGCTATTCATGCACATGTTCTGTGCAGTACAGTGGCTATTCGCGCACGATAGCTTGTCCATCATCACCGCGAGATTGACCAGTCTTTCGACGTCATTGATCTCGTTCTCGTCTTCAATTTCCACACGAGCAAGTCATGGCGGGTGACCTGGCTTGCATCCGCTGTCGACGGAAAAAGATAAAGTGTAGCCACGCCAACACTTCTCGAGGCCGCAATCAGCTCATGTCGCTCCGAAACATACGACCATCGGACAATGCTATCCCCAAGCATTTGGCACCCGGCGGAATGCCCTCGACGCCACTGCACAGCGGCGACGCCAGAGCGAGTCTGCCTGCCAGCGATCTCATACAAGAATGCATAGACTACTTCACCCGTCATCTGTATGCAGTTCAACCGATTGTGGATCGAGCGACTATTGAGTACGCTTTGCGTCGGATGGACACCAATGCTGGAAGCGGACCGCGTCATTTGCTATGGGCAATCTGTGCATACGTCCTTCTCCACCCTAAGACAGACCTTTCTGGACCGCAACAAGTCCTGCTCTGCGGGAAAGACCGTTTCACCTACGGAAAGGCATTGCTAGAACTTCTTTACCAACAGCGCACGTTGGCTCGAAGTACCCTCGATGCGACGGAACGCCAAGACCCAGGCCTTTGGTGTATTCTCACACCAACGCTCACCGCCGGGGCACGTTCAAGCCTACAGGACAACAAGGGCGCATGGAATGACCTTCGCGAGGCGACAAGCAATGCGTACGCATACGGCATATTCCGCCGTCAGACGGTTTCTCAGCAGTACCGGATTTTGCACCTTGTACTATTCATCAACGAACGGCTGTACGCGCTCAAGCTCCTCCCTTGGGAGGGCAGCTTGCCACTCACGGTGAGCCCGCCTATGGAAGATCACGAATGGCTGTCGCAGCAGAGATGCAACACCATTGTCAACAGACTGGTCCTCACGTACCTGTTGGTATCGCAGGTAGGACATCACATTCTGAACGGGCATACCTTCGAGGCACTCAAAATGCAATGGCAGTATCTTGATCTGGATCTTGCGAGGGGCCTAGCATGGCGGAGTGACGAAGCTCAAGTCCTAGAGACGAGGTGCTTGCAGCACTGGTTGCGCGCTGCCGTGTGTCCACGAGCACGCCCGCACAGTTGGCGGCCAACCACGGAATGGCGCGATGTTGTGATTGCCATTCTCCAAGACGCATGGCACCTCATTGGGATCGCCAAGAATAGCAATCGCAGTCATGTGCTTGACTTGTCAAACTTATGCGATATCGCCTTCTTCGGACTGGATGCGCTTCCAATGCTCGAAGCTAGCTGGCCCGAATCAGGGACCCAGCTTCTAGCGTATGTCGACTTGATCGTGGCCGAGACGGGCGAAATGATGAAATCATCTCAGAATGCGCATCCAAGCATCGTGGAACTACTCTGCGACGCTCGTTCGAAAATTACATCGATTCAAGTCTCTCAGCAGGCTATTATTAGCTGTGTGCCTGCGCATTTTGCACTCAACGATGCTCTGATTGATTCCAGCCCAGGTGTTGGATACTCGGGCTCGGGAGTAGAGCCTTATCCTTCTGCGTGAGTTGCAAAGACCATTCCATGGTCCGGGCAAATGAATCTCCTATCTGAAGCAGGGGCATCTGTCTGTAATTATGACAATGTTTAAGTACCATGTACAGTAAAATAGTCCACCACAATGAGTTGCTTGTCATCGGTCCCAAATCCAATCTCAAAGGAATGGAACTTAGTACAGTACATTTACTATCAGTTTGTAACCCGCTAGGCTTGGCTTAATGAACAGGGGTTGGCACCGAAGACTCCAACAGGCGCCGGGCGGTAACGTCCATCCCCACGTCACGAGCCACCCTCCGTAGCGAGCCAAGCCAAAGGTACATTGAACTGATAAGACGATCGAGCTCTTACCAATACATTTTTGCGCTTCGTCTTGCGTGTGCTCGCTAGATCAGGTACTCCTCCGCCTCTCTAAGTCCTTCCGATGACATAGGTTAATATTGTAGCGTCGTCGTCGCTCGCCTTAGAGAGGGTCTGTCTCGGGCCTGATCTTGTCGATGACTGCACAAGAGCCGGAACACAGAGTCTTTGAATTGCCAACATACGTTGGGAGGCAGTTTGCAGCGCCAGCAGCCTTACCATTGCGTTCAAACCTTATTCTCAGCTTGGTGGCGGCCGTATGTCGATTATAGAGGCAAGATCGCCACGCCGACAGGTACCTCTGGACAAAGCGATGACGCTTCGGGCTAGCGCTTAACTGTGATTTTCATTAATCATTCTGTAATTAACAAGCGTTAGCTAAGCCAACCGCAACTCCAATCACCTAGTCGATTTGCTTTGTGCTGCCGGCATTCTTCTAATTAGGAGCTTTGTCGCGTAGGTCGCGTTGATACCTAAGTTCCAATTTCTAACATGACGTCTTGCCCTTTATCGAGGGGCGCTACAAATGCCGGGACACGAAGCTACCGTGGCTTGTAACCGCTACTTACTAGCCTTGAATTCCGCCGCGGACAATGAGATTATAGAAAAGTGGCAACGAAGTAAAGTCAGTGTATTTCACGTCTAGGTTAGTGTCCGGCCTTTTATATAGGGGTGCGTTCGCGATACTCATATACGTCATTCGTGCCCTAACCTAGTAGTATAAGAAGGCACGCCTCTCCACGCCTACTAAACTATTCCTAGCTGAAATGTATAGTCTGCTTTGCTAGTCCGGGTTAGATTTTAGGATGAATATTGCAACGAACAAAAGCTATCCCAGAACATTAACGCCTAATGCGGCGGATAGTGTCGTCCTAGTCTCGCAAAAGGCGGAACGTACGAATTTCTTCCTAAAAGTAGCAGAAATAACTATTTGCACAACGAGCCAATCTTGCATATCACTTTGCGAGATCGTGGGAGCATCAACTATCAAGTCGTCGGACCGCGATACGATCTTGGCTAATATTCCTTCCCAAGCTATCCACTCTACAAATTACGACATCCCTAACAACATTCAGTGGGACATCTGCGCCTATCGACGACCAAAAGTAGGCAAGAAATATCAGAATCTTCCAGAGACTAAGCTGGTAGGGTCTGTGCCGAGCGATCACAAAAAATTATGCTATGCGAGAAGCTTCCTCCGTAAGACACGCTACAAAGACTTCGTTGACAAACTTCTCGGGCCTATATACGCAATCAGTCACGGCATAGCGGTCGAGAATATCAAAGACATTACATGGAGGCCACAGTTGATTCGCCAATGCACCACAGAACTGCGAAATCGAATCGCAGCAGCGTTACCTGGTGTAAGAGAAAATGCAGGCTGTTCTCCTTACCAGGGTTGTGCGAAGCTGGTCTCGATCATTCCTGTTGTAAACTCGAGATTAGACTTGTCATTTCCACGAGACAATGTAACTCGCGCTGAGGCTGAATCCACTGTCAGCGCCTGTATCGACAATTGCCCTGTCTCTAGTACGGATTTAGCCATGCCTGGGGGCCGTGCTGTCAACGAGAATCAATTAACGGAAATGCAACCTACCTGTGCGAGCTATGCAACAAATGGAACTGAAGTTGGATCAGAACCCAAAGAAGCGATTACTGAAAAGGCAACTTTGCTAGGCCTGCCTACCGAGATTCTAGATATAATCCTAGATCTTGTCCTCGACGATGTCCTGACTCAAGCGACTGGCCTTGGAGACTTAGGGCATTTAGTACAATTTCCTCCTCTACTCGTGACATGTAAATCATTACATGAGTATGCACTTCAGCGAATCTATTCTCAGGAGCTCTTGGTACGCTCGCAAGTCTGGCTGCACTCTAAAACCGTATCAACATCCTCGATCCAATTTCTACAGCACGCGAGGAAGGTTCGCATCGATTTCTCGACGACCCGAAGAGAGGAGGATAGGCTGAGCTTCGTTCGGTGGCTCTCAGACACCTGGCGTCAAGAGACTCGCTTGACGAAGCTTGTGCTTTTTACTCCTCCCGATTACAACCTGCTCCCTACGTTGGAACGAGATCGCTGCTTCGAAGATTTACTAGCGCCCTTACTCCACGCAGTCAAGACTATGAACCCAGATGTGAACATAGAATGGGATCCGACGGACTTTAACACTGGAGTGTTAACGCCACTCGCATTAGCTGTGATGAGCGGAGATGAGGACAAAGTGCGATTCGTTCTTCCGAAGTCGCAGAAGTGTCTGAACCAGAATGTTGATGGCGCCACACCGCTTACTTATGCTATTGTAAACGGTGATGTGGCTATAGCGCAGCTCCTCATAGACACGCATGGTGTAAATGTGAACGCGAAGCATGTGCTAACTGCGATGACACCCCTAGCGTTCGCTTCGAGTCTGGGCAGCGAAGCGATTGTAGAGAGATTGCTACGTCGGAACGATGTTTGGCTTAACGCTAGGGACATTTCAGGCAAGACGGCGCTACAAATTGCGTCTGAACAGGGACATGAGGCTATCGTGCGGTTACTACGTGCAAAAGGTGCGCCTGCAGACGAGCTATAGGATGGCGGAGCCTGACAATTCATGGTGCCGGCGTTGGATGCGAGAACAAATGAGAGCCATAATTAGAACCCATTTTTGCCTTCTAACTAAGTTACCACATGCGTGCCACCGGTGCTCGGAATGGCTCTGGTGCATATCCATGCTCTTCGTCCCACGAAATCGTTTGCTCAAGGTGTGCTACCTGCTCTTCGCTCGTCCGTGCTGCCTTAGCCGTCGGCTCTAATGCCTCTATGTTTGTTGCCGCATTTTTCCGCTTACGACCGCGCTTGCTCTTGCCCTCTACACCCCCTGCTTCTATTGATGCACCCGCGGCCTCTTTAGCCTCCTTCTCTGCTTTCTTAGCTGCTTTCTCTGCGTCTTTCATCGCACGCTCTGCACGGAGCTTCTCAAGATCTTCAAAACTCGTTACCCTTGCTGATCCTAACATCTCTGACTTGGCTGTTCGACGGGCTTTGGCTTCGTTGTTTATGATGGTTAGGAAATGGACGTGTTCCTCAAGAAGACAGCGTTCGGCGAAGGACAGCTGGGTGGCATTAGTAAGCTTCTCTAAGCGTTTCTGCAGACGCAGTCGGCTTGGCTCATCTCGCAGATGTGCATCCTGTCGAATGAGGTTGTGTAGCATGGCAACAGCCTCTGCTGAGGCCGGCGTCACAGGCGTCTGAGGTACCTGATCCTGAATGCTACGGTCGACAGCCAGCTCATTGGCTGTCTTCGCATTTATCTCAGCAAGGGGTCTGGGAATGTCATCGAGCACCCTGGCTGGATTGAAGGGGAAGAGGCCTGCCTTGGCCCACCCAGCCCTAATGTTCCGAGGCGTGAACGCCTTCTCCCTTGCAGGGCTATATAAGTACGTGAAGTGCTCCTTCCCGATCGTTCCTACTTGTCCTCGCTCAAGTCGTTCCACCTGGTCGCGATAGGCGGTCTTCAATGGCCCGAACACTGATACGTCACACGGCTGAAGCTTGTGGGATGTGTGCGAAGGCAGACGACAAAGCACGATGCTGTTCTCAAAGCAGAACTCTAACACCTCGAGGGTCTCGTGCGTTCCAAAGCCATCGCATATTAGTACACGTGGTCTGCGATTAGCTCGTTCCTTGGTCTGGGGTTCGAATACTAGCTTCAGCCACTGCAGGCTGATATATGAGTCGGTATAGCCGCTGTCGGAGTATGCATAGTGCCATCCTGGGGTGGGATGTGTAGTCCAATTTGATCGATGCGTGGACGCAGGCCATATTATCATGGGATTCAAATACCTACCGTCGGCGCTCACGCATTCGATCGAGGTGACCGTCGTCCGCTTAACACGTGCACCTCTGTAACCGCGCTCGCTGTTCCTACTTACGAGGACTTTGGCGGAGCCTAGCTTGGAAAGCATTATGCCAGTCTCGTCCATGTTGTAGACATTTTCCTGTAGGATAGCCGGGTCCTGGAAAAGGTCTCCGGCAACCTTGAACCAGTGTGCTGC